AGGTAAGGGATCTTACTGCTCTTTGCATATTCTACAAGCATCCCACACATCCTTCAGACTCAACTTGTCCTAAACTGAAACTGACATTGCCGTTCCAACCCCAATACTAAACATACCCCTCTCTTAGCTTCCCCCACTCAGGGACTAGCTCCACCCCCAGCCAACTCCCCGCTTAGTCACCCCAACAGGGGTTCTTCCCTTCCCTCCTCCACACCCTATCATTCACCAAATGTTGTCTATGCCATGGCCTACAGATGGTTCCAGTTCATTCCCAGGCTTCTCCTTGGTCCGGGTCATTTCATACCTAGACAGCTGTAACAACCACTGTGAAGGTCTACGGGCTTCTCCCAGTCCTTCCCCACCCCTACTGTTCATTTTCCATCTAGCAGCCTGATGGGAATCCCATCTCCTCACTTCTTTGCTGGAGACTCTCCAGGGTTCCCCATTGCCCACAGGATCCAGGCCAGATTCTTTAGCATGCTTCCTCAAGACCCTGCATCTCCTGCCTGCCCCTGTCCCTTTTCTGGCTGTCCCTCTAGTCTCCCCCTGCAAACCCAGCCTCTGACATACATGCATGCTGCACACTCTGGCCAGGGTGAATATCTGTTAGTTTCTGCGTCTTTGCACATGCTTTTCTCTCTGTCTGGCTCATTCCATGGTAACAGGTGCATTAGTTAAGCCTAGTTGCTGTAACAGACAAGGCCCAAGTTTGGAAAGGCTTAACACAATGGCAGTTTAGTTGTCATTTCATGAAATCTAATTGGGTGTTTAGGGAGTGGTGATGCCAATACCAGCCTCCTCCCTTCTTATGGCCCCCCCACCCCCGCCCATCTCCAGATCATAGAAGACGGCCCCATTCATCCAGCATATGCCAAAGGTGACCACAGAGAAGGTCCGCCCATGTGACATCAACAGCTATTATTCTGCTCACATTCCGTTGGCCAGAATTCAGTCACACAAGGACGCTGAACCACAAGGGAGGATGGGAGATGTAGTTCAGCCACACACAGGGAGAAAAGGGAACTAGCTGCCTTTGGAAATCAGAGAGCACGTAGCCTCTTCCACTACCAGGGATCCCTAACCCCAGGAAGTCTCCCTGAGCATGCTCTTCCTGTCCCCCTCAGGCTGGATCAGGTGTTTGCATTCCAACAAGCCCTACCAGCCTGTCCCCCATCACAGCACCTGCAGCTGCCTGCTCCTCTCACCCTCAGGACTGTGAGCCCAGAACTCTGGCCCGGGACTCATGAACCCTAGTGCAGTGGAACAGATCAACTGAAGACTCACTGGGGTCACAAAAGATGTCCACAACCTATTGACATGGGAGGAGGGAGCAAGCGTAAGACAAAATGGGACCCTTCTATCATCTGTACGGGTTTATAGATAGGAAAAAAATGTGGGGAGGCTTGTTCTAAAGTTGTAAGGGCAGTGACCTCTGGGAATGGGGCTTTTTTCATTGTCTTCTTTACAGTTTTCTGTACTTGTCTGAATTTTTTTCTTCAATGATATGTACTGTCTTTATAATTAAAAACATTTTCTATTTTTTGTTTCTTTGGCTGAGATGGGGGGAGAACCCACCAGAGATGATGTCACTATCAATACCCTGAGAGGAGAACCCTGTGGCAGGGCTGGAAGCGTAGGTTGTGCTCTCGATGCTTCCCACTCTAGAAAGCTCTGCTTCACGTGTCTCTTCTTTGCCTGCCTTCCCACCCCACCATGACCTCACCTTTTGTTCAGGAGCCTGATCTCCACTCCCTCCTGCCCAACATCCTTAACCTCTGGTGACACGGGGCTTGTCACATCGCATCCTTGAGCTTCAGCTCCCTCCTCTGTAAAGTAGGGGTGGCAACGAGGCCTTTAGTGGCAAGGATCATGAGGGTGTGTGACGTGTGGGAAGTCCTGAGCACAGGAGTGAACTCTATTTGGTCAAGAGTCCACATTTTTAAACCACCTCTCTGCTGTTTGTTACTAGCTCTGCCCTGACTGATCCCCCTTCCCATACATTTATTTGTTTTTAAACTAGCTCAGTCTAGAACAGATGGAACAACTCTTTCCCATGCCCTGGGCCAGTCCAGCACTGGGAGAACTATGGACTCTTGGTCCTCCCTGTGGCTATTTAAGCTCTGGTATTTCATGGGGCCTTGAGGGCTGCTCCCAAGCTAGGTGAGGCTATGGGGGAAAGGGCAAAGCATCTGAGTGGTGTCAGATGCCTGCTGCTCCCTGAGAGGAGCTGGCAGCTGGTCAGCCTATGAAAGTGCTCAGTGTGAGATTAATGACTATCACAATAATGATCACTATCAACAGATGGTCAATTACCAGTAAACCTTGATCCCCAGGACCCCTGTGCCTGATGGAAGGATGTGAGGTGCTTTTCTAGGTATCCTCTGTTCATGGCAAGGCCGAACCCAGACCCGAAGACAAACCTAAACCCAGCTAAGAGAGGGGTGTAAGAGATTTCGGCGCCTTGGGTGAACCTGAGGGCCCTTGGGATTTAGGACAGGGCTCCGAGAACTGCCTCTTCTTGCCAAGACCTTGGGAAGGATCGGCACCTGCAGCGGGCCTGAATCGCATGGTGTCCCGTGTGCCCATCCCCACACAGGATGCTGATAGGAGAGGCATGATCGATCTGTACTGCCTCTTTGATGAAGGACTTGGGGCTCAGAGGTGAAATCTCATCAGACTGATCCTCGAAGAGCTGGTCAGGTTCTCTGGTCAGGACTCCCAGGTGAGTTGCTTGCTTTTGTGGGCTCTGCTGATTTTAGGCAAACCTTGGTCTCTGGTTGTGTCTCAGTATCTCTAAGCCCTGGAATTTGGCAAGTCTGCATTTGGATTTTCTGTCTGGCTCTGACAGTCCCCGGCTAACTGTGTGACCCTGTACGGGTGAGTTTACCTCTCTGAGCCTCGATTCCTTTACCTGGAGAGTGGACTAATGCATAGAGCAGCCGTGGGACTTAAATGAGATGCCTTTCGAGGAGAAGTTAGCCTCCCCAACTCTCTGCAGGGCTCTGCGCTGCTTGTGTCCTTGGTGCAAGGACACCCGAGACCTGGCTGAGCCCCGGGGCAAAGGAGCTGTCTGGCTGCTGGGGTCTAGAGATAGTCAGGGACCACCCGGAAGGTGCCCCTGGCAGAGGGCCCAGGCAGCACCTGCAGGGTACAGACACATGCCACCTGCTATCCCCAGGAAGGGAACTCATGAATATTCACACGCGCTGGAGCATGAGGGAGCCCGCTGAACACTGTTGGGTGTCATTGGAGCGTTCCTGTTTCCCAGTGACCGCAGAGACGGCCTGGGAGTCAGATGTGGCTCAGACAGGGAGAGGAGAGGGGCAGCCAGCCGAGGCCCAAGGTGAGTGTGTCTTCCTCCACCCCAGCACAGGGGTCCCTGGGGGAGCAGGACACCTGGGACCAAGGCCTGCCTGGTTGTGGCAGTGACGCCAAAGGACAGAATGTTTACCGTCCCGGGCTTGGTTTCCCTGTGTGCCTGCTGTGGGGATGAGTCCTGTTTCTCTTTCGTTCTCTAGAGGGTGCTGGTCCAACGGAACAGGAGGATTGCTGGGCCTGGCCTGGAGCCAGCTGTCAGCGTAGATGGAGGACGATGTTGCTAGGGTAACCAAGAAGGATAGGAATAGAAGGGGAGGGACCATCGGCCCTGAGTGCCTGGGACTGTCACCACCTTGGGCAGAGGAAGAAAGACCCAGGTTCTAGTTCTGTCTGCTGCTGCTGTGCTGTGTGACCTCGAGGGTGACGCCACCCTCTCTGAGCCTTAGCCTCCCTGCTATGCTGTATTCCCGATTGGAGGCTGTGAGGCTCAGGCCACACTGTAATTGTCCATGGTACTCCATGGCCTTGGACCTGGGGCAGTCAGCTGCAAGCCTCCATCACAGGCCAGGGGGCACACACCTTGAAGGGGCCTTGACTGGGACCCTGGGAGGGCAATCATAATGATGTTAATTATACTGATGGCCATCCATGCCCAGCAGTGTCTGCTCTGCTCCAGCCCTGTGCTGGGCTCTTTCCTTGTGGGATGAGGAAGACCTGAATAGAGCATCTATGCAAGGGGGTGGCATCATCATTTTAGAGGAGAATCTAAGACCCAGAGAGGGACACAGCCTTGCCTAGATTTCCTTCTACAGAAAGGAAATGGCTGAACCCGGTATCAAACGCAGGACCCTGGTCCCAGGTGCTGGCTCCAGGTGGCCCTTGGATGTGTAACTCACACATGTGGCTCTCACACCCTTGAGTTAGCTGCAGCTCCCTTCTGCCCTGAGGGTCATGGGGGTCATTCACCAAACATTAACTAGGTGCCAGGCTCCAACAGCGCAGGGATGAGTTCCCTTCATGCTTGTCTGCCTCTGGGCACAGACAGGATCTCTCCTCCCTTATGGGAGGCCTGGGTACCTGGGTCCTGGTCAATAGTGATGGTAATAATAATTAATGTATATTGATCTCTGTCTGTGTACGTGCATCCTGGTGTTGAAATCTCAGTCTCATGACTCTTCTCCACTAGGCTTCTGGCTGCCAGCCAGCCCCTGTCTGGAGTTTGGTCTCCCCAGGGACTCTGCCTATGATTACCAAGGGCCCTGTTTGCCCCGATCTTGGTGCTGTGTGCCCATTGTACACGTGAGGAGACTAAGATGGGGAGGCTGAGCGGCATGCCCAAGTTCACAGAGGCCAGGCAGGAAGGCTGTTGAGACAGTAGGGACCAGCCCCCAAAGTGCCCTCTGTTTCTCCTCTCTTCCTCCTGGCTGCCCTGGCCCAGCCCACAGGGGCCAGACCCTGCTGTGCTGCTGGGACAGAGACCCATTAGCCACACTTTGGCCTCCTGTGGTCGATCTTTTTGTCTCATACACACTTACTGCAGGCTTGGGACTGGGCTTGGGACACTCTGGGCGGGGGCTGCCATGGACAAAGCTGTAGGGTTTATATTGGAGGCCGACAGACTAGGGCCTGAATCCCAGCCCTGCTCCCTGCCTTGCTGAGTGACCCTGGGCAAGTCACATCACCCATTGGAAACTTGATTTCCCCATTTGCAAAATGTGGGTGACAGGAGGTTAGCCTCCAGGGATAGCTGAGCAGGATCAGTGAGATGCTCTAGAGAAGCCCCTGCCCAGGGCCTGGCTCATAACAGGGGCTCCAAGGTGAAACCTGAGGGCAGGCATGGTTTCAGGAAGCCCAAGTGGCAGAGTGGACAAAGGAATGAGTGAAGCCATGATGGGCTGGTTGGGGGCGCTGTCCTGGGCCAGGCTAGGTGGAGCCTGATTGGTGGTTCTGGGGAGCTGGTCTGCCCCCTGCTGCTGGGCCTCCACCCCAGATCTTCTGCTATCAGCCTCCCAGATTTCCAGAAAGTGCCCTGGTGAGTGGGGCTGCTGGGGCAGGAGTGGGCCCTGGGATCTGGGGAGGGCAGGAATTTTACCCTTCTGTGTTTTAAAGCGAGAGAACCTGAGGCCTAGGGCCCCACTCAGGGTTTGGGATGGGAGTCTGAGGCTCTGGCCGGGCCTACTGCTCTGCCCTATTTTCTACTGGGTCCCCCAGCAGGATGGGAGCCCAGTTGGGGCACGTGATGCATGCAGCTGCTTTGTGCTGGGACTGGGCAGCAGCGAGCCCACCCTGAGGGTGACAAAAACTGAGACGACCAGGACCAGGTCCCCAGGGGCTCAGGAGGGAAACAGCTAACACTCTTTGAGAGAGAACTACATGCTAATTGCTTTCTTTGCCTCCTCTGTCTCTGAAAGAGTCAGTGATGGTGGCGGGGGGCGGGGGGGGGGACTATCAGCTTCCCAATTTTACAGAAGAGAAACTGGGACTCCATGGGGGTTCCTGTGACTGAAACACAGGCTTGGGGCCTCCACAGCCTGGGGTCAGCACCTCCCCTTCCATGACCAGACTGGCTAGCCACCTTACCCCACCCTGCATTCTTTATCACCTATTATTTAAATATGTTGAAAAAATTTTGCCCTTTTTTTGGATTAAAAAAACAGTTGTTACAGAAATGCATAATATAGAAAAATATTCCCGTATATACCCCTTTTCCCAGCAAGGTAGAGGATACTGCTGTTAAAATTTAGAATACTGCCCTCCAGTTGTTTCTGGGACTACATGTATACATAAATGGATTTGGGGGCATAGTGTTCTGGAAGTTTCTTTTTTTTTTTTTTTTTTCCACATCATTAGATCATGGTGTGTTTTTGAGCCAGTCCACTTAGCTCTGTCTTGTTTTGTTAACGTGTGCAGAGGACTCCGTCTGGAACAGGTCTCGGTTTGCGTAACGTCCCCCACTGATGGACGTTGAGGTCATTTCTAATTTTTTAAATTTAACACCATGCCATGTGGGACTCTGCCGAAGTGTTTCTATAGAATCATTGGAATTTGGAGAGCTTATACCTTCCTCCTTTGCTAGGACAAACTGCCTTCTAGAAACATTCTCCCCCGTTCTCGTTTACCCCTGCCTTGTCCACCTTGCCCACCTAAGAGGGAACAGGGCTGTGTCATTGTCCTGAGGGAGGCTGGCTTCTCTTTTGTGTAGCTTCTTCCTCTGCACATTGCTTCCTCATGTCCTTTCCTGTGATGAGAAATTTCTAGAGGATGAGCAGAAGACTCAGGGCTGTCTGGTGGGGTGGGACCTGGAGTGCCCCTTCTCCAAGAAGAGTTTATGGGTGCCTTGGGTAACTTTCCCAGAGGGAAATATGTGGGGTCCTCCTCTAGGCAGGCTGCTTAGCCTCTGCCCCCAGGGATGGTAGCGACGTGCCGTGTGTGTGGTCACGGGGTGGCGTGCATGAGTTCTTGTGGCCTCAGAGGCCCAAGGCCCCCATGCCATGTGTGTTAGAGCCAGAGTGGAAAGTATTGTGCTCTGGCCTTACAGCTAAGGGGAGGGAGGAAGGTGCCCTAAGCCCCAGCTCTCTCCTGGACTCCTATCCCTCAGCACGAACTACCCGCCTTACAGTTCATGCCTCAGTCCCCCGCTGTTTAGGGTTGCCGCAGTTAGACCAAAAGACTAGACCAAAAACTTCTCCCCAAACCCAAAACAAACAACAAAAAAAGACACCCAGTTAAATGTAATTTTCAGATAAACGCTGAATAATTTTTAGTATGTGCTATGCAGTAGTAAAATTAAACAAATTTGGGGGCACCTGGGCAGCTCCGTTGATTAAGCGCCCAACTCTTGGTTTCGGCTCAGGTCATGATCTTGTGGTCGTGGGATGGAGCCCCACGTAGGGGGCCTCTGTGCTCAGCACGGAGTCTGCTTCAGATCCTCTCCCCCTCACTTTGTCCTCCACGCTTGTGCATGCACGCACACTCTCTCAAATAAATAAATAAAATCTTCAAAAACAAATAAAATTACACAAATTTTATTCATTGTTTATCTAGAATTCAGATTTACCCGGGCATCCCTGCCTGCTGGCAGCCAGAGAGAGGAGGTAGGTCTGGCTGGGTGACCTGAACCCTCTCCTTCCTCACTCGGAGCTTCAGTTTCTCCATCTGCCTGCCCTAGAGACCCAGGGGCACAGGGACCAGTGAAAGGAGATGAGGAGCCAGCCCTTCACTGGGCAGCTGGAAAGGGTGGCACAGGGAACAGGTGGCACTGGCAGGGTCTTTGAAAAGTGAACGATTCCTTGTGAATAGTGCTGGCCCCAGGCCTGGGGCGAGGGGAGAACGGGGCACTGGGAGAGGGTCTTCTTTTCTGTCTTAGAAAAAAATTCATTATGAAGCCCCAAAACGTATGAAGTAAACTGATGATACCCAGGTACCCACCCTACCCTTAAAAACTTAAACTGAGGGATACCTGGGTGGCTCAGTCGGTTAACTGGCTGCCTTCAGCTCAGGTCATGATTCCAGGGTCCTAGAATCAAGTCCCGCATCGGACTCCTTGTTCAGTGAGGAGACTGCTTCTCCCTCTGCCCGCTGCTCCCCCTGCTTGTGCCCTCCCCTTCCTGACAAATAAATAAATAAAATCTTAAAAAAATTTAAAACGAAACAGTTAGTAGAACCTTCTTCTTGTGCCATCCCCCAGTCTCTCTCTGTATTGGCTTTGCCCACCGTCTCTGTCTGTTGCCCTGTCGCTGTGTCTCTCTGTGTGTTTGTCTCTCTGTCCTCACGTGGACCTTGCCGGGGGGCCACAGAGCCTGCAAAGGGCAGTCTCAATGTCAAAGGCTGCCCCTGACCCCGCCAAGCCTGGCGCGGGCATGGGGGCTCCCCAGGGCTGGCCTCCTGATGCTTGGCCCTGCTCTGTGACCCCACAGGTGTCTGAGATGCCGCTGCCACAGAAGAAGCGCTGGGTGTCCATGGCCAAGGGGCTGGTGCTGGGCGCACTCTTCACCAGCTTCCTGGTGCTGCTGTACTCCTATGCTGTCCCCCCACTGCACGCGGGCCTGGCCTCCACGTGAGTGGCTCTCCTGGGGGGCTCAGGGGTGGGGTCTGGGGTGTGGGGGCACCCTGGGCCCTGCATTATGCTGTGCTGGGCAGAAATGGTGCTACGGGCAGAGCTCTCTGTGTAACCCTGGGCCTCAGTGTCCTCTGTAAAAGGGGCATGATAACAGAGCCTGCTTCATAGAAGTATGAGGACCCAGTAACACTGTGTGTGGGGCTGGGCTGATTACCATCTGAGGCTCCAGTGGGGCCGGGAGGTGGGGGTGACTTGTCCAGGAGAACTCAACTGACACAAGGCCCGGATTCAGACCGGGGTCTGTCTGCCCCCCCCGCCCCCGCCCCAGGCCTGGCTCCTAACTGTGAGGCTATCCCATCCCCTCATGGGGCTGCTGTGCCCAGGCCTGCCATGGTTGGTGCTCTTAGCTGGTGGTATCAAGCCGAACTAGAGGAAATCACCAATGGTTGACTATTTTGGGTTGAAAACCAACCTACAAAATTTCCTGTGGTCCAGCCTCATGCTAATTGGAGATAAACAGACAATGCCATGGCCAGGAATGAGACAGGAACCAGCAAGCTTGTCGCACTTGGACCTCACACCAACATCACAGAGGGGATGTTATTTCCCCCATTTCACAGATGAGGAAGGTGAGGCCAGAGAGGCCAAAGCACCCTGCCCAAGCACTGCAGCCTGGACGCAGGCCTGTCTGGTCCCCTGTCCTGGCTCCCCTCCTCCCCACCATCCCCAACAAGCCCCAGTCTTTAGACACTGGGGCACTGGGGGTTCTGCCTCTGGGAGGGCCCCCAGCAGCCCCTGAGACTCTCCCCACCATTCTGTTCACAGAAGGACCCCAGAAGGCACAGCGCCCTGCTCCCCAGAGCCCTCTGAGCCGGAGACCCAGACCCAGGCCAACAGCTCTGCGGGAGCTTGCCAGCCTCGGCGCGACATCGTGTTCATGAAGACGCACAAGACAGCCAGCAGCACGCTGCTCAACATCCTGTTCCGCTTTGGCCAGAAGCATGGGCTCAAGTTCGCCTTCCCTAACGGCCGCAACGACTTCGACTACCCAGCCTTCTTCGCTCGCAACCTGGTGCAGGACTATCGGCCCGGTGCCTGCTTCAACATCATCTGCAACCACATGCGCTTCCACTACGACGAGGTCCGCGGGCTGGTGCCGCCCAACGCCACGTTCATCACTGTGCTCCGCGACCCCGCCCGTCTCTTCGAGTCCTCCTTCCACTACTTCGGTTCGGTGGTGCCCTTCACGTGGAAGCTCTCGGGCCGCGACAAGCTGGCCGAGTTCTTGCAGGACCCGGACCGCTACTACGACCCCAACGGCTACAACGCCCACTACCTCCGCAACCTGCTCTTCTTCGACCTAGGCTACGACAGCGGCCTGGACCCCGGCGACCCGCAGGTGCAGGAGCACATCCTGGAGGTGGAGCGCCGCTTCCACCTGGTGCTCCTGCAGGAGTACTTCGATGAGTCCCTGGTGCTGCTCAAGGACCTGCTGTGCTGGCAGCTCGAGGACGTGCTCTACTTCAAGCTCAACGCCCGCCGCGCCTCGGCCGTGCCGCGCCTCTCCGGGGAGCTGTACCGGCGCGCCACGGCCTGGAACGTGCTGGACGCCCGCCTCTACCGCCACTTCAACGCCAGCTTCTGGCGCAAGGTGGAGGCGTTCGGGCGGGAGCGCATGGCCCGGGAGGTGGCCGCCTTGCGGCGCGCCAACGAGCGCATGCGGCGCATCTGCATCGACGGGGGCCGGGCCGTGGACGCCGCCGCCATCCAGGACTCGGCCATGCAGCCCTGGCAGCCGCTGGGCGCCAAGTCCATCCTCGGCTACAACCTCAAGAAGAGCATTGGGCAGCGGCACGCGCAGCTCTGCCGTCGCATGCTCACGCCTGAAATCCAGTACCTGATGGACCTCGGCGTCAACCTGTGGGTCACTAAGCTCTGGAAGCTCATCCGGGACTTTCTGAGGTGGTGACATCCCGCCCACCCGCAGCCCCCTCGGCCAGCTGGATCGCTGAGGAGGGGCTGCATGGGGGCGCAGGGGGTGGGGTGCCGCCGGCCTCCGCTGGGCCCTCCTGGTGCCACCCCGGCTCCCGGGGTGAGGTGGGGGCTGCTGCGACGGGCACGGCCAAGCCGGAACGGGGCTCTCGGCAGGCAGGGCCTCAGATCAGTATTTGACTAATTCTAGGTTTTTTTTTGTTTTTGTTTTTGTTTTTTTTTTAGAATTAAATCCCCTTCCCTCCAAAAAAGAATGTTCTATTTCCTGCCTCCCCTTAAAGGGGAGAGTTCAGAAGTAAAGGCGTTTGATGTTGTGTTTTTTGTTAATCAGCCTCAGTGGTGCTGACTGGTGGGGCCCTGGGTGGGAGGTGACCCATGAGGATGGGGGGACCTGCAAGAGAGCATGGCGGGTGCCTGAGTGTGTCTGTGGGACGGAGCCCAGTGGTGTGGCAGGGTTTGGCGCACACCTGTTAGGTGCTGAAGCCCTGTGTAGTTGAAGGACTCCCAGGTATTACCAAGACCTGGAAGGGCGTGTGTATGCGCGCATGCGCGCACGCGATCATCCTGGAACTCTACCAGTCACCGAGTCCAGCCCAACACTGATTGTGTCCAGCACTAGGCTGAGTGTGTTATTTCAATTCATCTTCATCAAAACTCAGCAATGCGGGAACTATCATTTCCTCATGCCAGAGATGAGGAAGGGAACTCAGAGAGGGAAAGTCATCTGGCCAAGATCACACAGCAAGTAAGTGGTAGGACTGGAACAGGGGCTGGGGAGGATGGAGTGTGCGTCCAGATTAAGATTAAGAGTCCATGCGTGTGTGTGTGTGTGTGTGTGTGTGTGATGGGGAAGTGGGGAGTTCTTGGAGTAGCATTGAGCAGCAGGCCCTGGGCCCAGGCTGAGGGTTCCTTGTATAATCCCATTAATCCTCACCGTCACCCTTCGAGGTAGGCACCATTACCATCCCATATTACAGATGTGGGAATTGACATTCTGAGAGAGATCAGAAGGGACCTAACTGAAGTACACATCAGACCCTAAACTAAACCTTCTCTCTGGGGCCCCAGACGCCTTGCAGCAGTGTGAGTATGCCTCAGCTTTAACCACCTGCCTCCCTCAGCCTCCCCAGGGGGACAAGTTCCCTCTCTGGGGCACAGGACTTGTGGGTCTCTAACTAGGAGCCAGGAGCCAGACACAAAAGGTAGAATCCACAGCCAAATGAGTTTATTGGAGAACTGTCTGTACCAGGCTCCAAGCCAAGTACTTGTACACCTTATCTGGATATCCACAACATCCCAGCTTTATAGACCAAAGCTCAGAGAGGTTAAGTGATTTACTGAAGGTCACCATCTTATTACTGTAGGAACTGGGTTTCAGGCCAGATAAGTGAGCTCTTAACCCCTCCCTGGATTTGAATCAGTCTTTCTCCTGGGAGTGAGTTTCTGGTCCAAGCAGGGTGGAAAGAACTTAAGGGGACCAACTGTCTCAGTACGCTGGGATTGTCCCAGTTTTTGCACTGAAAGTTCCCAAATCCCAGGAAACTCCTCAGCCCTAGGCAACCAGGATGGTTGGTCAGCCTGGGGGAGTTTTGAACTCACCATCCCTCTTTAGCCTCCTAAAGTTCTTTGCAGCAAGAAATAAGGACACTTTTGAAGGCTTTATTTAATTCATATGGAAAGAACTAAGTGGAAGGAAGGAAGGAAGGATAGCCAAGAGAGAGAAAGGAAAGAAAGAAAGAAAGAAAGAAAGAGCCAAGATATTATTGACTCCAAATTTATGAGATAATCTCCCCCAATACACATTTTATTTGTCAAAGAGAAATATGATTTAGTGCAATAAAATAATATATTGGGCTTGTGGAACCTCCTAATTTTATTTCCTTGGACCTTAAGGGCCTATAAATACCGATAATAATATTATATGCCATCTAATTATTTATTATTAATATTGGCACTTCTAAACCCTTAGGGATCCAAGGAGAATAAATCTGGCAAATAGTAGATGCCAAGAATATAAATTGCTCCATTAGCATTTACTATCTGCCTGGTTTGTTTTAAGAACATTACAGTTATTACCTCATTTATTAACATAATTAATATTTTAAAAATGAGAAGTTGACTGGTATGAGCGGGCACTTTGTGCTCAGCTCTGTGCCCCATGGGAACATGAACAATCCCCTTTGCTCTTCTGAGGAGGCGACCAAAACACAGAGAAATTGAGCAACAAGTCCAGGGTCAACCAGCCATGCAGCCATAGAGGCAGGATGCAAACCCAGGTCAGACACCAAGGGCTGGTGCTTGCAGCCTCCAGACCCTCGGTGCCTTCTAGTTGGCCACCTCAGCCTCGGGATGGAGGTCTTGTCAATGGTTGAAAATGTATGAAGTCTCCAAGGGGCAGAGCTGCTTAATCCCCAGGAGCCACACTGCTCTTGCCACACCTGGACAGCAGAGGGCGCCATGGTACCAAATTTGGTCTTAGCTGGTCATGACGTTCGCCGCCGCCAGGGGCTGGGGGCACCCAGGCATTAGACCTGGGCCTACAGGTGAAAGCCAGGGCGAGGGTCATGATTGTGCCCTGGGAGAAATTCAGTAGAACTACCTGTTCCTCTCTGTTATGGGATGAATTGTAACCCCTAAAAAGATACCTCGAAACCCTAACCCCCACTTCCCTATGACTGAACTTATTTGGAAATAGGGTCTTTGTACATTTAATCAAGTAAAGATGAAGTCATTAGGGTGGGTCCTAATCCAAGACGGCCGGTGTCCTTCTAAGAAGTGGCAATGTCATGTGTCCCTTCACAGGGACAACGCCATGTGAAGACAGGCCAAGATTGGCGTGAGGCAGTTACAAGCCAAGGAATGCCAAGGGTCAACATTGACCTCCAGAAGCTAAGAAGAGGCAATGAAGGATTCTACCCAGAGTCTCAGAGGGAACATGGCTCTACTGACACCTTGATTTCAGCCTTCCAGCCTTCAGAACTGTGAAAGAATAAATTTCTGTTGTTTTAAAGCCATCCAGCTTGTGCCACTTTGTTACACAGCAGCCTCAGGACACACACACATGGTCTGTGCCCGGTCCCTGCTCTGGGTCAGGCCTCTGTCCCTCACCTGGATCCCTTCCCCCAGGCTTGCCCCTGTGATCCACTGATAGCCAGAGGCCATCCTAGGTTCTGAGCACTCCATGGTCCCCCTCACCCCTGGGGAGAAGCCATGAAACTGCTTCGCACAGGCTCTTCCCTCTACCATAAAGTGTCCTTCCTGTTGCAAGCCTAACATCGCTAAGTGACTCCAAAGCAAACTCTGCCGCCTCCTCTGGACCTTCTTCCCCGACATCCCAGCCCTCAAGCTAGCTTAGGGCCTCCAGGCTCCCCATCTCAGTTCCACTCACCAGGGCACAACTGCAGAGGTGCTTGTCTGCCAGGCACTGATGGTGTGCTCCTCCAGGACAGGATCTGCGTTTGTCTTGACACAAGCAGCCTCTAGTACCCAGGCCAGTGCCCGGCACACAGTTGGTTTTCAATAAACGTTTAAAGGGGATAGGAAGGAAGGAAATAGGGAGGGAGGAAGGGAGAAAGGAAGGGAAGAAGGGAGGAAGGAAGGAAGGAGGGGAGGGAGGAAGGAAAGAGAAGAGGAAGGGAGGGGAGGGATGGATGGAAGGGAGGAGGGAAGAGAAGAAGGATGCCTGGGTGGCTCAGTTGGTGAAGCATCTGATTCTCCATTTTAGTTCATCATGATTTCAGGGTCATAGGATGGAGCCCTGTGTAGAGCTCTGCACTCAGAGCAGAATCTGCTTGAAATTCTAGCCAGTAGGGCAAGAGAAAGTTATTTCCTCCCTTGAGGGCATTCCAGAGCCTACTTGCCTTAAGTGACTGGGCCCTCATTTTCACTGGAAGGTAACACATTAGCCAAAGCACGCAAGTGCAGGAATGAATTCACAAGGTGAAAAGTCATGTGTTGCTGGGATGGGACACAGGTCAGGTAAGAGTTGACAGGGACCGGTAGAGGCAGGGACCCAAGGAAACACTTACTCTGGGGAGTAGGTAGGTCCTGGGCAGGCTGGGGACAACCCAGGGGTACTAGAGAGCAGTAGAGAAACTGTGAAAGGAGAGATAGCCCTTGCCAACTTCCTTGCCGTCATGTCTTTGCTAAGTTCTTATTGAGCACCTTCTGTGTACAATGTACCTTGATGGGTGCTCAGGTGGGAATATACAAAGATGAACCAGCTTCTTAAGGAGCCCAAGGCAGGGACCTGTGAAGGGCTCACAACAGCTGGGCGGAGAGCTGATGACAGTGAGGTATAGGACTTCAGTCGGCGAGGGGAGGCTCAGTTGCCAGCGAAGAATACAGAGCAGAAAAAGGAGCAGACCAGGCATTTGGAATAGGCTTTGAGGGAGGCAGATACTGGATGCAGGATGATACTGCAAGGAAAGTCGTTGCAGGGAGAAGAAACAGCAGAAGCAAAAGCTGGACAGGAAACAGTGGAGAGGCAAGGGTCCTGGAATAAGAAGGCGAGAAGGAAAAATCAGCTCCGGAAGGACCCCAGATGGACTTGCACTTCAAGCTCAGGGATTTACAATTTCTCTCCATGGCAGCAAGGAGCCAAGGGGGACTTTGGAGCAGGGGAAGGCTCTTGGAGGCAGGCTGCTGGAGGATGGACCAGAGGAGCTGGGAGTGGGGAAGCAGGGGAGGGGCCAGGGAAGCAGCAGGGGAGGGTGGTCTGCATTTGCCCCAGGGGCTAAAGCTCTAGTTTATGGGTTTGTGGGGTGCTGAGGAGGTCCTACAGGAGGAGGAGATCCACTCCAGTTACCCCCATGGAAGACCAAGGGAAGACCATCGGGGGCTCAGCTGGGCCATCCACGTGCGTGCTCTGCTTGGTGCTGGGCACGTGGGGTTCAGTGTCCTGAGTGAGCACTAAGTTCAGACAGTCTCCATGGTCACACAACTGCTGCACGGCCTCAGACCTTCCCCTTCCCTATTCCAGGCTCTGTTCAGATGGGGAGGAAGAGTCTGGGGCTCCCAGAACAATCGAAGCCTTTGGCCTCCAACCAGAACGAAGCTTCACCACTTCCCGAGGCCCTTCTCCACCCTCCAGAGCCACACGCCCAGCAGGCCGGCAGTGCCTGCGGGATTGACCGTGCCTGGAGCTGCCCTTGACCCAAGACTGTGCGAAGCTGGCATGTAAATATCCTCAAACC